GTGTGTGGTGTGTGTGTGTGTGGTGTGTGTGTGTGTGTGGTGTGTGTGTGTGTGTGGTGTGTGTGTGTGTGTGGTGTGTGTGTGTGTGGTGTGTGTGTGTGTGTGTGTGTGTGGTGTGTGTGTGTGTGTGTGTGTGTGTGGTGTGTGTGTGTGTGTGTGTGGTGTGTGTGTGTGTGTGTGTGTGTGTGTGGTGTGTGTGTGTGTGGTGTGTGTGTGTGTGTGTGTGGTGTGTGTGTGTGTGTGTGTGTGGTGTGTGTGTGTGTGGTGTGTGTGTGTGTGTGTGTGTGGTGTGTGTGTGTGTGTGTGGTGTGTGTGTGTGTGTGTGTGGTGTGTGTGTGTGTGTGTGGTGTGTGTGTGTGTGGTGTGTGTGTGTGTGGTGTGTGTGTGTGTGGTGTGTGTGTGTGTGTGGTGTGTGTGTGTGTGTGTGTGGTGTGTGTGTGTGTGGTGTGTGTGTGTGTGTGTGTGTGTGGTGTGTGTGTGTGTGGTGTGTGTGTGTGTGGTGTGTGTGTGTGTGGTGTGTGTGTGTGTGTGGTGTGTGTGTGTGTGGTGTGTGTGTGTGTGGTGTGTGTGTGTGTGGTGTGTGTGTGTGTGTGTGTGGTGTGTGTGTGTGTGTGTGTGTGTGTGTGGTGTGTGTGTGTGTGTGTGGTGTGTGTGTGTGTGTGTGTGTGTGTGTGTGTGTGTGTGTGTGGTGTGTGTGTGTGTGTGTGGTGTGTGTGTGTGTGGTGTGTGTGTGTGTGGTGTGTGTGTGTGTGTGTGTGGTGTGTGTGTGTGTGTGTGTGTGTGGTGTGTGTGTGTGTGGTGTGTGTGTGTGTGTGTGTGTGTGTGGTGTGTGTGTGTGTGGTGTGTGTGTGTGTGGTGTGTGTGTGTGTGTGTGGTGTGTGTGTGTGTGTGGTGTGTGTGTGTGTGGTGTGTGTGTGTGTGGTGTGTGTGTGTGTGGTGTGTGTGTGTGTGTGTGTGGTGTGTGTGTGTGTGTGTGGTGTGTGTGTGTGTGTGTGTGTGGTGTGTGTGTGTGTGGTGTGTGTGTGTGTGTGTGTGTGGTGTGTGTGTGTGTGGTGTGTGTGTGTGTGTGTGTGTGTGGTGTGTGTGTGTGTGTGTGTGTGTGTGTGTGTGTGTGGTGTGTGTGTGTGTGTGTGTGTGTGTGTGTGTGTGTGTGTGTGTGTGTGGTGTGTGTGTGTGTGTGTGTGTGTGTGGTGTGTGTGTGTGTGGTGTGTGTGTGTGTGGTGTGTGTGTGTGTGGTGTGTGTGTGTGTGTGTGGTGTGTGTGTGTGTGTGTGGTGTGTGTGTGTGTGGTGTGTGTGTGTGTGTGGTGTGTGTGTGTGTGTGGTGTGTGTGTGTGTGTGGTGTGTGTGTGTGTGTGGTGTGTGTGTGTGTGTGTGGTGTGTGTGTGTGTGTGGTGTGTGTGTGTGTGGTGTGTGTGTGTGTGTGTGTGGTGTGTGTGTGTGTGTGTGGTGTGTGTGTGTGTGTGTGTGGTGTGTGTGTGTGTGTGTGTGTGTGTGTGTGGTGTGTGTGTGTGTGTGTGTGTGTGTGTGGTGTGTGTGTGTGTGTGTGTGTGTGTGTGTGTGACAACAAGCTATGATGTCAGTTAACAGCTGGCGATAAAGAAGCAAGTGCTATGGACAAAGAATAACAGCTTTACGACAACGCAGTGTCTAAGTGGCAAATATTACTTACAACCACAGAGGAAGACACCACAACTAATGGCCACGGGTGAAGATCCCACACAACGGAGACTCGTCATTATGTGGTTTTGTGTAGTTCATTAGTTTTGTAGTTTATGATGTAGGCCTATTACAGGTCGGAGGAAAGCACATGCCCGTAGCCATCAGTGCTTTCATAATCATAAGCAATTCACAATATTTCCATCAAATTAATGAGCAAAGTTCAGTAACTAAATCGTGTGGACAAGGGGAAACAATTACGCTTTTTTGTCTTACAGTGACAACACTAAAAAAATATGACAAATATGCTTGTTTATACATACAGGCGTGAAAATGTGAAACTTAAACCCCACTCAATATGAAAAAAGCTCATTACCTTCGTGCATCCAATTCATAATGATGGGCACATTGCTCTCATATATACAGGCGGGTCCTCAGAAGTGAAACTGAACCCTCATGATTCTCACAAAGTAAGCAGCGTCGGCCTCGAGCTCAAAGAATCGCCGTCTGTTCAGAATCTTCGGTGCGAAATTGAGCTTTTGGGTCGGAATGCTTCGCTGGCTTCCAAGAACTTGAATCTTCCGCTTTGATTGCGCTAATTCTTCTTGAAAACGAGGAAGCAGCATGGTTTGGTTTGGTCACGTAAATAGCTTTCTATATCTTTCTTATCCTTTCTCTTTGGTTCTCTCGCCCGTCTCTGTCTCTGTCTGTGTGTCTGTATGTGTATGTATGTGTGTGTGTGTGTGTGTGTGTGTGTGTTTATCCCTCTCTCTCTTTGGTTGGACACACACACACACACACTACCACAAACACGCATGCAAATACCCAAGCACACACACACAAAAGCATTATTTCCCAGTCATAAATACCAGCACCTGATCCTAGGTGCGTCTCGAGGTTAGCGAGAAAAGATGCCAGTGTTTGCCAGGTCTCGCTGCAATATCTGACACGTAGATACAACAGCCTTATCTCAGCGATCACCCAGAAAAAAGGTCGCCTGGTAGACTGGATCTGATACATTTTTGATGACTTGCAGCGCCCTTATAGAGAGACTGATACACGCTTGTTATCTAGGTGTCCATCTGCTGCCGTGCGTATCGCTTTTCGCCGTGTGTGACCGAGTGGGTAAACGAGGCAGTGTTTGGTGTTTGCAAGGATCCACGCGAACGCTTAAAGAGGTTGTGCGTCTCGATGCATACTCGTGACGTTGTGATCTGGTGTTAGTACGTGGTTTATTTTTTTCTTGTTAACTCTCTTGTCTTCTGAACACAATGGCGCAACGTGTTAGGTCGTTAATGCTGGTAAGTCAAATAGAATGCTTATCATCGCTGAAGAGGGAGATGACAGCGTTCATACTTACATTATGAGCAAAAGTGCAGTTGTTGATATGCAATAAACAACAACGAAATCTTAATGAAATATAAGAAAACCACACCAGTACGTTAGGCATTATATTAAAAATATGAAATCTAACACAAGGAAAACAACGCAATTACGCAAATTTGCATAAAATGATAAATATCACACAATTATCATAGTTCTCCCAGGGTACATCTCAACAGCCGAGACACTGCACATGTGAATGAAAATAAACAAAACACGCACGACGCTTCGGGCTTGATCTAGTTGTTCGTCTTGTTGCTCTCGAGGCGCCGCGGGGAACGGACGCAAGTGCGAGCGAGTGCGGAGGGCGGGAAAGCCGCAAAGTGGCGGATGGAAAAAAGGCAGTTTATGCAGGAAAGGAAAAGAAACTAGGAAAGTAGTAGGAAGGGGAAAAGGTAGAAAATTAAAGGAGGATATATATACATATATATATACATATATGTATATATATATATATATATATATATATATATATATATATATATATATATATATATATACACACATACATACACACACACATATATGTAAATATATACACACACACACAAATATACACACACATATACGTACACATACACATACATATAAACATAAACATAAACATACACATACACACACACACACACACACACACACACACACACATACATACACACACACACACACACACACACACACACACACACACACACACACACACACACACACATACACACACACACATATATAAGCGTGTGTGTGAGGGGATGGTGGGAGGCAGGGAGGAAGGGAGGTGAGAGCGAGGGTGCCCAAGAGTACCTTATCTGAGGCAACAAGGGAGCTTGTGGATGAAGTACCTTCCTGACCTTTAGTCTCACTTTACAGAGTCGCGGTTAACCCTCTGAAGAGATGATCCGAGCTCAGTCCCACAAGCCTTGCGGCGCGATGGATCACGTCTCTCCTGTTCCTTGAAAATTCCTTCTTCTGTCTCTCCTCTGCTTCTCCTCTGGTCCACCATCTCTCCCCCTCTCCCTCTCTCCTCTGCTTCTCATCTAGTCATCTCTCTCTCTCTCTCTCTCTCTCTCTCTCTCTCTCTCTCTCTCTCTCTCTCTCTCTCTCTCTCACACACACACACACACACACACACACACACACACACACACACACACACACACACACACACACACAGACACACGCACACACACACATACACACACACACACACACACACACACACACACACACACACGCACACACACACACACACACACACACACACTGACTCACTCATTCACTTTCTTTTTCTCTCTCCACCCTTTCCCCCTCTTCTTTATCTTTTTCCGCTACATCTCTCTATCTCTCCCGTCTCTTCTTCTTTTTCTTTTTCTTTTTTCTCCCAACCTCTGACCCTGTGTCAGTGTCCCTAAATGAAACCGCACAAAAGAGGGTCAGGTTTAGCCGCATAACTTGACCTGATAAAGGGAAAGGGAAAACTGGCGTCGTGACCTCCGCCACCTGGTCATCAAGGGGTGACTCAGAGCGGGGCTTTTGTGTACTGGCAGCCACCTGTGTGCATGTGAGGAGTCGTCCTGGTGTAGTTTTCAATCAGTCTATCTGTCAGCTGCGACGGGGCTACCTACCCTATATCCCGATCATTTCTTCACGGCCCAACCCCTGGCCGCCTTCCCAGCCACTCGTGCCTCATAACACACGTTTCCGCCAACTATTATTAGGTACGAGTAGCTATGTTATTCTGCAGACGCCCCTCTTGCAGGATGGCGGTATTCTCCACGAATATTTACGCCACGCTGTTAGCAAGGTACATTTGTTTACTTCCATGCAGTATCATATAAAGTATGTAGCTATGTCCCACTCGTGACCTGCTGCGACCTGTGTGACCAGGTGTGGGCGTGGGATGGTGGTCCACTCTGCCAGGGTGGGCTGAGTGCCAAGCAACTCCCCTGATGGTGATATCCCACTTGTGGCGCATCACCGGCGCAGTCGAAGCCTGCACAGTCCTTGCGCTGCACCACCCCAGGCTCTGCGGCGGGTGTTGTGCCGCCCTCCGCCCTGCTTTTTGTGTCGATGTGCCTTACGAAGCATTCTGAAAATCACTGTGGCCAATATTAAAAGGTGTGCAAGCCCATGAATATTTTACTGGAACTTTTTCTTGTATCGCCAAACATATTGTGCATATTTAGTTGTTACACACATGCATATTTATATTGTTTGGTAGTGTTAAGGTAATACAACTGGTGCTTGAAAAACTTCATCAGTGAGGTTTTGTTGCAAGTGGAAAGAGAGGCTGTTCAGTTCCTCCTATCATCATGACCACTAAGCAAGAGAAATTTGACATATCTTTAGGTGAGTTATTTACAATATGACGATGTAAAACAAATAAATAAATAAATAAAATATAAGTCCACAAGAATCTGGTCTTATCTGAAGGAAGAGGTATCTTCGGGGCTCAAACCTGACGATGCTATCGCGGGGCTTCAGTTTCATTGGTTAATGAGACGCAATAAACGATATCGTGATATCTGAAAGCCTTCCTACACGTAGTTTCATCACAGGCGATAAAATCTTGTTTTCTAATTGAAGATCGAGGCTGACATTGGTCTCTGCTTCGTTTTCGAAGTCACTCTTGACTAATGTATATGCAGTAAACAAGGCTTTATAATTCAGGTTTATTGAACACGATAGTACGAAACAGATGCAGCAACCATCCCTGACAGCTGTAAGAAAAAAAACGATAGGGCAAGTCTGTTGCAAAAGCCTAGAGAAGCACAGATGCGCCAGGCACAGGAGACCCCTGCGGTGTGTTAAGACTCCCAATTAAAGGCAATAACAAAAGTGATTAATACGGAGGATACTGGCCGTTCAGACACGTAGGATACAACAGATGTTTCTGGATTAACTCCGAGTTGAGCAGAAGAAAGTCTGGAGGATCGAAATAGTAAACACACATTTTTACATAGCTTTCACGCGAGTCGTACAGGCTTCGAAGTCAAGGAGCCGTTTGCCAGGATTTATGAAGGGTTATTTTCGCGTGTCGCTGCTATGGGCTGTTGGCAATGATAAACAGACGGGGCAGCGAGGTAGTCTGGCGATGGTGGAGAATGAGCATAAGTATTATGAAGATAGTAACGGTGGTTGTTGTACAAGTGGTGAGGGCATTTGATCTACAAGGAGTGTTATTTCCAATCAGCTGCCGGACTGTAATGTTAGAGAAGTATTGTGCTGGTTGTTAACGCTTGAACTCGCAACAACGAAGATCATTCTCATGGTGTAACATTATGTTGTGCTGATATGGAAAATGTCCGCCCTTGTTGAAGAATGTTTTGCTCTGTCTGACCATCTGGGTCGTTGTGTACTGCGGCACATAGAGGCGTCGCAATAAGGTTTACGGCTGTTGTTGTTGCAGCAGCGGACGACCCCGTACTTCATACTTTACGAGACAGACAGGTTGACATTTCTGTATATCATATCCATCGTCTTGAATATAGAATTTGTTTATGTTTTCGAGCGAGCGTTGTCGAATTACTTAAAGGGATGTAAAAAATAAAAACTTAAAATGTATTGAAAAAAGTTAGATTTTCCTTGTTCATGACGACGAGGAGTTCTCAATGTAAGTAACGGGTTGTCGAGCCAGCCACGCGGGTGATGCGGGTGACACTTGGCGATGCAGGTGCGGGAGTAGCATCGTTCACCTCCAGCATCCTAAATGGAGCTTAAGCGTTTTGAGCTCTTTTCCATGGAGTTCGGTGAGACCTGATGAGCCCCTTGGTTGCCTTGGATGTTTATTTATTTTCTTTTTAATTGTATAGTTGATATATATAGCCGCCTGATTCAGCATTGGCAAGATAGACCTTCCCCGGTGATAATATTCCCTTCCACTGTAAACAGATCTTTACGGTGCATAGAGTTTATAACCAGCTTGCAAAGGTTAAAATTAGTTCGTTACATCTGGACCCTGGGGAACTCTGCAGTGGGCATCGTGAACATGGATGCAGGTGGTCTCGCTAGCTTCTGAATAGCGACATGGGCGTGTGGGTGGTGGTTTGGAGTTTGGCGTGGGTCGTGGGCGATGTTGTGATGTGTAAACGAGTGCAGAGAAGCAGCTAGTTGTGAGCTGGAAACATGTTTTCAAGGATGGTATGTCGAGCAAATATATCATTAAAGTAAAATCGGGATAATAAGCTGAGAAGCAGTTGATAAACGACAGGATATGCAAAAGAGTTAACATGATGTGTTTCGCTGCGGTTAAACAAAAATTTGCTGTCTAAAAATAAAGGGAAGATAAGGCAGGTGGAAGAAAGGGGAAGGGCAGGAGGTCAAGGGGTCTTGCAACAGGCAGGGACACCCCAGGGCAAGCGGCGACACGCCACTCTGGACCCTCGCCAGGGACGGAATAAACGCTATTCTCGCTCGTTACTCGCTAAGGCCGCGTCCCTCCTGCCGGTGCGCCATTGTGGACACGTTCGCGGGGAAAACGGTGTGATTAGGGAGTGGGGTCGAGACGCGGGCCAAGGGAGACTTGGTTATTCTGAGAATATGCCGAAAGGGGGACGTTGCCCTCTCGATTGGACTCCATAAAGCAAATTGGGTGGAATTGGAAGTGGGGGGAAACAACAATAAATCCGCAGTCCGCATTTTCATACCTTATTCATATAGAGAATGCTTCTCGAAATATTATCATTGTGGCTGTCCTTCTTTCTACACCCTGCCCTCCCACGCCGCCCCTTCGACATCCAACCTCCTCATATCAACCTCCTTGCGCCCTGCTCTCTCTTGCACCATATGTATTTTATACCACCTTCGCTTATTAATAAAAAACCTGGTTGTTATATTTATGTCCAGTATCAGTTTACGGAGAAAGATACGACTATTTTGCTCTCTGCCAAGTGCGGGCGCGGGTGGGAGGGCGGGAGTGAGGGCGTGAGGCTGACGGGAGGCGGAACAGGTGGGAGGGTAAGTAGGTTCATTACCAGGAAGGATGTGGAAATGGATGTCACAGGACATGAGTCATTTTGGCAAGGATGCACAAGGACGAGGATGACATATGAAAGCGAAGACAAATATGCGCGAGGGAGAGGAAACCGCGGATGCAGTTGTTGCTGAACTCGCTGAAAAGATAGCAAGGAGGCGGGAGCCTTCTCCTGCGAGTGTCCCGTGACAAGTGAGACCTTGGGCTCGGGCGCGCATTTCCCGCAAACGCTGCGCTGACCGTGATCCTCTTTCCTTCTTCGCCCACATGCAAGCGTGGTTCATGGACATTGCGACTATTGTGGAGGAAATTGCATCAAAAAGGTTAACACACACTTACACACACACACACACACACACACACACACACACACACACACACACATACACACACACACACACACACACATTTACAAAAAAAAACACCCTGCTGATCCGGAATAGCGCAAGCGCTGCTTGAACCCTGCAAGCAAGGTGTTATACTATTAAGAGCCTTAATGGCTTAAGCTACCAGGCACATCCGGTATTGCGCTCGCCCCCCCTGCCCTCCCCTACACGCCCATCTCCGCACCCACGATGGTCAATATGACGCGCGGTGCATGTGGTTGTTTCTGTTTAGCTTTCCGCCCCCCCGAGCCCTGAGCAGCCACCTGAGCCGCCCAAGCTGTGAAAGTTAGAGACAGCGGTCGGCGAGGGGCGAGCGAGGTGCTGCCCTTGCCGTTACCAAGTTAGGTGAGTCACAGCTCGAGGCAGCAACAGCGCAGTCAAACGCACGCATGGAAGCTGCTCTGCTTCTGTCGCTGGCAGAGGCTGTGTGGTGCTCCTCCCTTTGACTCCAGGCCGGGGATCAGCAGATGGTATTTCTAATTACCGCATGCAGAAGCGAGCCGTCAAGTGAGTGTGCATACCCGGCAGGCCAGCACACACCCTGAAATGCATTTCCCACTGCGCACACATGGGCATACTCAGAAATGCCAGAGTGCATGCTTGTGACTGCACGTACATTTATCTGTACTTTTATATAGCTATTCCGCCACCGGCTGACCTTCATGCATTTCTTGCTAGAACGCACACACGGCGACAACAATAAGCGCTTGGATGGAGGCACAAACGCACACTTGATAAAGCTGGCATTTAAATTGACTGGTTGCTCCATGACTTCCAATAGAGATTCCCAAGCGCCTGCATCTCGTACCAGCACGTCGGGGAACTCGCTATGATTACGGCCAATTTCGGTTTTACGACCTTATGACCTTATTAATGCGAGGGATGATTAGCAAGCACATCCCGCCATTATGGTGCAGAGTCACATGTCTGTTCCAGGATGACTTTTGCTTTACTTGAATGGACGTTTTTCAGTGAAATCCGACCTAAGACGACTTCTATTTACTATGATTTTGTTGTAACGTTGTTATAGAACGTGTTATGTTTTTTTTTTTTTTATCTGCAGCTCAGTTTCAACAACTAATGATCATATAATGTTTGTTGGATTTTTAACATGTATACCATGCAGTAATAATATATACTGTTTATTCCCCCACAAGCGAAACTAATCCTCGTTTCTTCATCCTCGCGTGTCGTTTGTTAACAATACCCTCATCTCGAGCGCGCGGTCTCGCCCTCGCCCCGTAGGCCTATCCCATTACCTGCGGCTCAGGTGTTGGTGGTGTTTGTGGCGCGTAGTGGGCGGAGGTCGGACGGTGCGTGCGCCTTGGACCACGCCCGCCGGACGGAGCCTTTGTAAGCGATCCTCCTCACTCCTCGTCCGAGGAAATTAGCAGGGGCGCACGTTATATATATATATATATATATATATATATATATATATATATATATATATATATATATATATATATATATATATATATATATATGTATATGCATATGTATATATATATATAAATATATATATATATACATATGTGCGTGCGCCTTGGACCACGCCCGCCGGACGGAGCCTTTGTAAGCGATCCTCCTCACTCCTCGTCCGAGGAAATTAGCAGGGGCGCACGTTATATATATATATATATATATATATATATATATATATATATATATATATATATATATATATATGTATATATATATATATATATATATATATGTGTGTGTGTGTGTGTGTATATGTATATATATATAAATATATATATATATATATATATATATATATATATATATATATATATATGCATTTATATATATATATATATATATATATATATATATATATATATATATATATATATACACATATATGTATATATATATATATTATATATATATATATATACATATATATATATATATATATATATATATATGTATATATATATATATGTATATATACATATATATATATATATATATATATATATATA